ACGCTCCGACAGTAGTGTTAAGCACTTCTGGGCCTCACCTAAGATCGCTGTCTCAATCATAGTGTCATTCATATCGCCATTCAAAGCGTGTCCTCCGAATCGCGAGCGAACGGTCTTCTCGGCCGCAGTCTTATACAGATTGGGAACGAAGTAATTGGTAGGAAAGGGCAGTCGCTTCGCATACCAGCCCCGCATCAGTTGCACGTAGTTCTGGTCGTCCATCCAAAGCAAGTAAAGCAATGCCGGCTCTAAATGGCTTTTGAGGAGCGCTTCGTAGGCCAACACATCCGACATGTCTTTGGCCGACAGATTAAAGTCCGCCGAATAGTTGTGGTCTTTGAGATAATGCACCAGTTTTTTCATTTCAACCACTTTTGCCTCTTTGTGTCGAAACGACGGCAACGAAGTCCACAGCGGGTTATTCGTCGCGTTTATCTTCAGGGGAAGTCCGCTAAGGAAATTATCACCCAATGGATCAGTTTGTGTGCAATCAATGCTATCATTACCTGAAGCGACAAAACGCTAACATTTGAAGGCATTTGAAGTCAATTGAAGGCAAACCCCAATCGCCGGACCAGACATTCAATTCAAACTTTGCACTCATTTCACACATTCAGTCAATTCCGGCAATCAGTCAATCCATTCACGCAATCAGTGCTTAACATTACGCTATCATAACATGTGATTTAAATGTCATTTTACTTTGTAGACAATTGTCGCACAATTCACTGCATTTCATCTCTAAAAATATTCATTATTTCGGACGCACTCTATGTTTATACCTATAACTAGAGAAGTGTTGATCGGATCCAATCTTTTCCCAAATTAATGATTAATCAAAGTTTCAATCAATAAATTTAAATGTATTTGCGATGAGAGCCGAGAAATCAAAGCCAATAAAAATTATTATACAATTGAATGCATGTATTGAACGGCACTAACGGTTGTAAGCATTGATGGATTGACCGGTTTTGGTGTTGAATCGGACCGTTATATGAGTCGTCGCTCACGTCTAGTGTATAATTGAATTCAATGTGAAATCAATTGACAAATCATTTGATAAATAAATTGCAATAAATTTGTGACAAATATTTAGACAAAGAGTGAAAGAGTGG